AAGATTTAATAAAGATATTAAATCTTTAATGGAACTAATTAGACTCCAGAAGATTTACTGAACTTTGGGAATGAGTGTGCAGACTGACAGTTGTGGCTGGATGACTTTGGGAACTGGGGTTCTAGTCTGGTAAGATTCTTGCTAGAGGTTGTAGTTAATAAACATAGCTGGACTGAACTGGCATTATCTCTTGGAGTTCCTTGGGCTAGGCTTGACACTTGGTACAGTTTGTATTGATGATGGGAAAATGAATGATAGAGGAATTTTAAGATGTACAAATGCTGATAGAAAGTTAATGAGTGGTGTGTGTTTTCAGGTGTGAAGAATGTTTGTTGAAAGGAAGTAGAACGGCTGTATATAAAAGCTTGCTTCTACTCACTTGCCTATATGGAGGTGTGTGTTGGGTACATCAGGAGACACATAAAAGTAAGTTAAGTGGGTGCTGAATACCAAAGGAAGGGACCAGTATAAAAGTCCTATGGTCTTAGGGAGAGACCGAATGAGGATCAAATTGCAAAATAAATATATGAAGGAAGAGTGAATTGAGGGTTGAGAGGAATGTCTTGATTGAGAAGTGATGGTTGGATGGAGTTGATGAGATCTTCAAGAAGAAAGAGATGATAAATCTGGAGAATAAAAGGCAAGGTATGAAGGGCTGTATAGATGTGATACAAGCAAGGATGGTTTGCAAGGACAGAAAGGTATGGAGAAATATGGTGGATGGTGCTGGTATGAAAATTGAAAGCAAATTCTGTGTCATCAGATTGAGAACTGGTAGGATAACATGCAGGAGAATATCTCTGTCAGCAATAATTAATGCCCCACTGCTGGATCCAACTGTATGTCAGCCTGTGAGAATTGCTACTGCATACCACTCATGGAAGAGATGACTACAATGTTCCCCTTAGATTCTTGCAACAGGTCCATAGCAGAAATGGTTAACTGGACATAGCTGAAGAAGTTCACATTCATAGACCTGATCACAGACTCAATTGTTCCTTGGAATGGACCAAACATTGTTCCTCCAACGTGGTTCAGAACTAGCTGGTCAAGACCTCCTGAGGGAGAGAAGGATGGAGATGCATTCAGTGGCTACACACACAACTGGATTGGAAAAGACAGATGGATCTTCTGTTTGTGGGGCTTGCTTGCTGCCAATGCTGATGGTCCTCTGGGGGTGTCTTCCAGCACTGAGCCCCAGGCAGGGCGCCTGAGCATGCAAAGGGCTGGGAACAGATCTGGATCCTGAAACATCACAGGTTTGCAGGCTCAAAAGGAACTCCATCCTGGAGGGAACCCAATGCAGGCTGAAGGTCAGTCAGCCAGGCAAGCACAGGGCAAGGCAGGAAGATGTCTTTGGTTCTGGGTCTTAAAGTCTCTGCAGGACCTGAAGCCAAAGTTGTTGATCCTCTGGGCCAGGAATGAGGCCCCTCTCCCCCCAAAGCTGCCCCCCTCATTGCTGTTCTTCCTTGGTTTTCCTGCTCACATTGCCCAGTATTGCTGGCCAGCTCTGAATTCTAAGGGCCAAGATGTGAGGCAGAGCGCATGAGGCACTTCTCACATACACCCGAGGCCAAATGTGTCTCTATGCACAGCCCTGGAGCCTGAAAAAGTGTTCCAACAGGTGCACCATGAACACTCGAATTGCTTGTTGCCTTTCAAAGCTGTGGTTCCCGCCCCTGCTTTGTTGCATGAATTCTGGATGAATCATGGCAACATGACCTCTCTGAGCCCACTTCTCCATGCAGGAAGGGAGGGGAGAGCAAAGTCCTGGGAGGCTTCTACAGAGGAATGGACGGTGCCAGGGGGGCTCCTTGACCTCACTTGGTGGCTGGGACAGGTAAGGGAAGCTGAATCCAGCCTTCCACCCCCCGGAGTGCCCAGTCCTTCAACCCCCTTGAGGCTCAAGGGTTGGTGCCGGGTGAAGTGCAAAGGGTCATCTTTACCCATCTGGGCCTTAGTTTCTTCAACAACCTTCTGGGCAGAGGTCAGATTGCTCATGTCCGCAACCACGTAGTGGACAGAACTTGCTCCCAGCTTTTGGCACTTCTGCATCACCTGAAGAGAACAGGAGAAAGAGGGCGGAGGATTGAGAATGACCCACAAGAACGGGTGTCCACAGGGTGTGGTCAAAAAAGTCAAGATGGTGGCCAGGACAGTGCAATTGAATCTCTGCCAATCTTAATATTACAATGAAACCAGAACTATTTTACTGGGTTTTATGGACGATGAATTAGAAAAGAAATATGGGAAATTAATATTGTATATGGTAACTGCGGCAAGATTATTGTATAATCTTATACAAAGATGGAAGAATAATGAAATACAGTAGGAGACTGGATTATAAAATTGACAGAGTTTGTGGAAATGGCGAAGCTGACCAGTTTGATTAGGGAAAAAAAGGCTTTTTTGGAAAGACTAGAACCCTCATATGGACTTTTTGTTGAAAGCAGAAAAGTCTGACTTGATGATTTGGGGATTAAAAAGGGCAAAAGAATAAGATGGCAATTACTCAAGAGAAGGAAGGGCAGAAGTCAGAATTCTATGTTTTATTTCCTTTCTCATTTCTTTTTTTCTTATTTTTCTTTTCTATATTTTCTTTCTTAATCTTTTAATTTTGTATACTTTTACAGTATTGTATTGAAAAATTCTAATAAAAAAGAAAGAAAAGAATTTCTGCCAATCATTAAAAAAAATGGATCGCGCTATCGTGGCTACCATCTTGACTGTTTTGACCACACCTTGTGGGCACAAGAACAACTGTGTTTAGATCAGCTGCTGTAAGCAGGGTTGGTCTTCACTCTTGTTTCGAGCCCCTGCCCATTTCCTGAAACTCTTAGCCTAGGAATAGCTTTTGCTCAGTGCGTCCCTCCAGAATGGCTCAGGGGGCACCTGTGTGCCCCACCAAGCAGGAAGCGAGCCGGCCATGCCATGAAAAGGAGAGGACATTGATCTGCATAAGGCATCTCTCTGGAGCGGAAGCTAGTGACAAAAGTCTCTCGCCAGTGTCAGAAATGGACAGAGGCGTCCTCTCTTTTTCTCATGAGGAAGAAATCCAAGTTCTTTGCTGAGGAAAGCAAGCATTTACAATAGAGAAAAATACCTGGGAGTATATTTGACATCTAAGAATGCTGGTTTATTTCAGAATAATTATGTTCCACTCTGG